AGTCTGGGAGGTGGGAGACCTGTAAGGTGTAGGGCCTAGTGAAAGGGGGTTATGTCACCAGGGGTGTGTCTGTGCAGTGGAGACTGGGACCCTGGCAGAAGTCTCCCCCCCACCTCTCCCAGCTTTGCTCTGTCATGAATTCCCTGTCGTGATGTTTGGTCCAGCTACTGGCCCCAAAACAGCAGAACCCAGCAACCGTGAACTGAAGCCATGAGCTAAAATACATCTCTCCTCCCTATTGTTAGGGCTAAAACCCAGACAAAGGGCTAACTGAAGTACCTAGCTAACATATTAAAGCAGACCTGACTGCCACGTTCTCCCAGCATCCCTCAGTCCCTAGCTGTTACAGGGTATGGCTGGCATGCCCAGCTCCCTACCCTGAACTCTCCAGCCCAGGGGCTGGGCTGCTCTATATAATCCAGCCATTTTGGCTAGGATGGTCCTTCTTACATTTTACCCTCCTGGCCTTCTGGCTCTCCCCTCCCCGACTCTCTTCATATGGCCTGGTTCAGGGTCATGTTCACTCTGGACCCTCCCAGATGTTTCTGCCTCTGGCTATGCTCTCCCTCATATCTACAAACAAAACAAAACAACAACAACAATGACAACAAAAACACCTCCTCTACCATACCTAGGAGCTTTATTATTATTTTTATTATTATTCACTTATCAGATGATCACCTCAGGTGTTCTGTCATAGTGATGGAACGCTGACTAAATGCACCAGAGGTTGGAGGGAGGAAGAAAGGATCTTGAGATCTTTGACCCAGGAATGCTGAGTTCAGGCATCCGGGCTTCATAACTGAGAGAGAATAATTTTTTGTGCTGCTTTAAGTTACCAAATGACCTGCCCTAGAAAGGACAGCTTACTCGGAAGCCCGAGGAAACAAAGTTAGAAGCACTTAGCGAACCCAAGTGAGTGGGTTGCAGTCATATCCCCAGGTTCTTCCTTTCTAACCCAGATTCTGGCTAAACTCATGGCGACATTGCCCGGATGCCAAGATGGTTTCAGTTCCCCCGATGATGATCAAAGGCGCTGCACATATACATGTTACTTTCTCTTGGTTCTATGATTTTCTTATCTCTATTTAAGGCAGAGCTGAAGCCTGCTATGCCAGAGTCATTAGGAAAAGAAACAATGTCCCAGCCCTGTGCCTGTCACAGCCTAAGAAGGGTGGCTTAAATGAGTCATAAAAAAACAACAACAACAACAACAAAAAAAAAAACCTCCTGATTTTTTTTTCCTTCTATAAAACGAGAACTGAGTAAGGAAAGAGTTCCCAAAACGTTGTCAAGCAACCAGGATCTTTTTTTTACAGATGTAATTGTATTTTGAAACTCTCTTTTCCTCTTTATCAGTCTCCTTCTGTGTGTGTGTGTGCGTGTGTGTGTGTGTGTGTGTGCGCGCGTGTGTGTGTGCGTGTGTGTGTGTGTGTGTGTGTGTGTGTGTGTGCACTTCAAATAATCTTGTCATCTAGATGCTCTCCATGGATCAAAGCAGTGGAGATTATGGAGGAAAAGGTCTCAAAATGACACAAGTATACAAAAAGCTCATTTGTTCCAAGTTTTCTGGGTGTCATTTTGTGGGGTGGAAATGAAGCTTTCCACAGGGCTTATGAGACTCAACTATAAATACATCAACTGAATTACTTCTAATATACTTTCCAGCTTTAGCATGTTTGGGTTCTGGTTTTAAGTGGACAACTGTGCTCAGCAACCTTGAATCAGACGACAGATGGGCTCTAGCAGCCCACTCCCCGGGAGCTGGTGTCCCTTGGCATGGTCTCATTAGACTCTCAGTAGCTACGGAGAGGAAAGCTGATGAAGAGGAACAGAATTTACTGCAGTCTCAGTTGGGAAAGTCAGGCCAAAGCCAGACCAAAGGGTTCTCAGAATTAACACTGGAGCCTAGCCAAGCACCTTGCAGCCTTATGACAACAATATAAAAAAACATTCTCTGCAGACTACAGAATCTTATGGGTGCAGAACTGCTCACATGGTTACAAATGTGCAGTAAGCATCCTTAGGTACCTCACAAAAGCCAGACAGTGTGCAAGGTTAGATGCTGGAGAGGCATCTAACAGACCATGCACCCCTTCCTCCAAGCTTATACGGGAGGGCGGTGAGAGAGACCCCCAGAGATCTCAAGGTAGGAAAGTCACCAGCTGCAGCTTCTCTATGGCAGCCACTCATTCACTGACTGTAAGTGCAGGATGATCTTCACAAAACACAAATGAAGGATAGCACGTGACTTCTCTTGATGCCTTCCAGTGGCTTCCCATCCTGCTTAGAAAACCATCCGAAGTCCACATGACTCAATGCCAATGCCTTCCTCCATCTGGCTTCTACGTGCTCCTCCTGACAACCTAGCCCTATCACCTTCACGGCTCTCTGCCCACCCAGGCCTTCCTGAGTTCCTTCTGACTTAACTCTGGCCCAACCTGCTCTTCATCCATTAGTCTTTTTTCTACACACACACACACACACACACACACACACACACACACACACACTGAGCTCCTATCTCTGTTGCCTGTTCCCTAGTGGCCTCCTTCCCACTTTGAAAGTCTTGCTTTGAACGTGACTTCTAAGAGAGCCCTTCTCTGGATGCAGACAGTCTCTGTGTCAATGAGCCAGGAATCCATAGAGACTCCCCACCCCAACCCCCAACAGCCTCCCGCTCAGCCCAGCATCTAAGCTTCCTCCTATTGGTCCTCACTTGTAATGCCCTTGCCGCAGTGAGGGTCCTGACGGCGTTACTGAATTGGATGACTGGGACGGCTACAGGGTGATGTGGATGTAGGGAGCCCACAGAAGTTCATGCAGTTGTTTGAGCTCAGAGCAGCTACTCTGCTCCTATCCCATCCTCCCAAATGAAGAGAAAGAGAGAGAAAGGGCAGAGGGAGGAAGAGGAAGAGGGACCAGACACTTAGCAGGTATTCCACTAACTTTCACTGAAGAAGTAAGTGAATGAATGAATGAATGAATGAATGAATGAATGAATGGTCAGAGGAGTTACAACTTGAGCAACTAATGGACAGAAGGGTTAGAGTACCAACAATTTTGACATAATTGCAATGCCTCAAACTAAACATGAAATAGATTTTAAGGGTACCTAAACATATCTCTCTCTCTCTCTCTCTCTCTCTCTCTCTCTCTCTCTCTCTCTCTCTCTCTCT